AAAGCCAGACATCGGGACATGCACCTGTTAGAGTACAAGGTCGCTACAATAGATTCAGTGTCTTCTGTCCACGGGACGTGTTTATATGGTGGTCGTACTGGTGCTGACTGCTGTAATGTGAGTAGGTACTTGTACCGCAGTCCGGCTATTTGTAGTAAGTTCGAGAAGAAGACGATTCAGTCGCTGACGTTTCGAGATCCATCGCGGATTCTTCTTTAGAGACATTAGCAGAAAGCAACAGCATAAATGGGTAATACATGCACAGGAATTATCAGTTTTAACAGGACACAGTCACTACTGGAAAAGTAGAATGACAATTAACGATAATTTCGCTCCTGTGCGTTGCTAGCTTGTTGACCGGCGTGCAGGCTCTGACTTGCTGAACTTTCATCACGCGTGGTGGACTCGGGCGTGATGGTTGCTCGGCCTGGGTTTTAGAAAGTTCGGCCTGTCCGGAGCCGAATGAAAAGTAAATGACCTAGACTCAACGACACGCTAAACAAAAAGGACGGACATCTTATTGATGGCTGTTCGCGAAAAAATCCCTATCTTTGAGCTCAGCATCAGCATGGCAGCCGGGAGTAGCCAATCCCAATGCTTGAAAGTTATTGATCGTGTGCACTGATGCTGGTCTGTAGTTTTCGAATTCAGATACAATTACGGACGGTAGCTAATAGGTGGATGAACATACCAGTTCAATAGCGACACGAGTAATTGCTGGTCTCATCTCCTTCCCTAACACTCGTGGTCACAATATACGTGCTGCGTTAAGCATGAATAAATCCTTTTTTAAAAACATAACAACTAGTCATCTCATTTGATTGACCATGACTTGATCTGGACAACTGTATGCCTGTTAATTCTTGCTCGGTAGTTTTCAGTGGACTTATCTCAGGTCAGAGACACTACAAGCAGGAGGTTACTATGATCGTGTGTTCTTTTATAACAAAAATCAGTTACTGAACCCTGTTGATGAATGTTCACTGACCGCTAACGGAACGCACTTGTCCCGCTCCGCCTTTGCCTAGGGCCATATTTCTCATTTCTGGAACTTAGCCGGCAAAATAGCAAACTCGCAGCTCAATGGTCAAGGCGCTAGACTCTGATGAAAAGGCCTGGAGTCGTAGTCTCGGGTGGTGCACTTCCTGGGGCTGGGAATGCCTGGCTGACGACGGCTACTAAGCAGTCCCCTGCTTGTCTTTGCCGGTAAAATTATTTAAAAATCGTTATGCCAGCCGACCAAGATACAGTTACAAATTAATTTAAGAACCACCAATTAAACCTACCTCCCAAGTCCATCCGCGTGGCAAGGAGTAAGCGAATGAATCCAAATAAGTGACAGATTCAAATCGACGAAAGGAAAGAAAATTCTACGAAAACCATTTAATTGCGGAGTCTAGCTGGTATTAATACTTGAGCTTTTAAGTCGCGAATTCAGACATCTGCTGAAGAAGGAACTAACTGTTTTGACTATGGAAAGTGCATAGGAAGGGCATATCAGTCTGGGTGTTAATTATCTTTGAAACACCAACCTCTTGACTTCTGCTGTTATCTAGACAAAATAACAACTGAAACTTGCGGAATGGAATTGTTGCAGTAGACTGTTTGGTAGATAGTGAACAGTAGACAGGGGGCGGATAAATATTTCACGGTTAGTGCTAAAGTGTAGAAGAAGTAATCACTATTGTTTACCGCATACCGTGCGCCAGCTGTCTTTGTGTTTACGTTGGCCACACAGACCGACGTCTTGGTACTTAAAACCACGAACCTAAGTTAGCCGTTTGCCTACGGGACTCTTTATCCCTCGTATTTGCGCACTTCAATTGGGATGGCACTGAGGTGATCACCATGGCTAACAAGAGACAAGGGAGAGAATTCCCCGAAGCTTGGTACTCGAGCCCGACCAGCATTAACAGGCACGTCGATATTGATGCACACTACGATGGTTTGCGTGCACGGCTCACTGACTCGGACCCACAACAGTCACGTGTCAACACCCGGCCGAGTAAAATGGCCCTGATGCGGCATCCCCCCGACACGTGAACCCTATCTGACGTGTCTATCCTCTCCTCCCGGCTGGGAACGTCTGTATACCTGCCTCCCTCCACCAAACACCCTAGTGCGACAATCCCATTACCCACTTTTCATTTAGTCTGGCGACGGGCCGTTGATAATTGTTTGAAAATTCACAAGTGCAAATCTCTTTTCTAAAGACCCTCTTTCTTTTCATTATATCATCTCTGAATGCAAACTACTTCATTTACCCAAAATAATAACTGTCAAACACTCGGATGCATGCCATTTTCGCGCTGTTACAAACGGTTGCATAGAACACGGTGGTTTCGTCTCATCTAGCCGAATCGAAAGGTAAGTGGCATGCAATGAGACCTGATGTTAAAGAAAATTACACTGTATATGAACTGTTCCCTTTTTTCCTTCTGTAGAGAAAAGGCGAAGGTCGAACAGGAGCTTCTTGATGTCGAGATAGGCTACATATCCCTGTTACAGACTTGCTGCACCTACAGACTTGACGGTTCCATCGATCTCGAAACGTCTCCTGAGATTGAAATCAATGACAAAGTGAGTCCAGCAGGCACTTGTCATGCCCTGATTATCGTTGCTTTTTTCGACACTACTGAATGTTCGGTTTTTTCAGTAGTCTAAGAAGTGAAAAGTGTTAACCTTCCTTGCGTTCCGTTGGTCGCTCAGACATAAGCGATAACTATTTTGTACGAAAAGCTATCTTTGCACACGCTTTTAATTTAATAGCATAGTTGCCAATACAAGCAAACATGCGAGTTACAGCAAGTAATTGAGAAGAAGACGACTCGATCGCTGAGACAATACTTGTATTCGCCTGACGTTTCGAGATCCGTCGCGGATTCGTCATCAGAGACAGCCAGAGAGCAATAGCAGATAGGGTAGCACATACACAGGAGTTTGCAGTATTTATAGGATACAGTAATTACTGCAAACATTGGGCGACAATTAAACGCAATTCCCTTCTGGAGTGTTGGCGGTCTGTTGAACGGCATGCGGGCTCTGACCTGCTGATACTTCATCCCGCGTGGTGGACTTGGGCTTGATGATTGCCCGGTCATCTGGCCCTCATATACTGGTATAGGATGAGGCGGTGGCCTGTATCCTATAAATACGGCAAACTCCTGTGTATCTGCTACCTACCTGCTATTGCTCTCTGACTATGTCTCTGATGATGAATCCCCGACGGATCTCGACACGTCATGCGAATAATTGTATTGTCCTAGCGATCGAGTGGTCTTCTTCTTAACAGCATAGTGTTCGCTGTTCATCTACACCGTAAAGTATACGCATTACTTGAGTCATGGTTCACGGGCCCCCAGTCTATCAACAAGAACAACGACTTGTCCAATCCATATTCTATGCTGAGGCTCAAGTTGGCCAAAGCAAGTCGCCACTTGGGGAACGCACAGGCCAATCCGCACAAGCGGGCAATTAGCCTCCATAGGGGAGTCGGTAATTGTCACAAGAGTATTCTATGAGTTTCATCATATTGGGACTAGGTCTCTCCGGTTCTGTAAGGGATATGGCTTAAAAGGCTCTTGTTTACATTGATCTTCTCTGAAGGCATAACGCAAAAGAAAACAAATAATTGGTACTTTCAAACCTCGCCAAAATCTTCCCGGTT